CCTCCAAGCTACACTTTAGCGCGTTCTCCACCGGCGTCGCCTTCCTGGATCGGCCACCGCCGCCGCCGCTAGGAAATTCTCTAGCTCCACCGCCGTTCATTATAGAGAAGTAGCTCACAATACCAAATAGAATCATTGATCAAATTCAATTCCTGACGTACAGAATAGGTAATCAATCCCACAACACAAACAAGATCAAGAAAAAAAACACACACACACACACACACAAAAAAAAAAAAAAAACCAATTGCAACGATAATGTAACAAGAAAACGAACCTGCTTTAACGAGGCGATGTCCATCCATGAATTATTGAATTCCTCGTCCAACAATTCGACATCTTCCAGGAATACTACAAATTGAAGAAAAGAGTCGCCATTTCATTTCATGCAAATTAAAATTTGAATTCAGAAGGTCGAATAAAGATAGTGTAGTTTCGATAACTAACCCATTAGAAAATATTCGCTGGTTTTCTTTCTCAGATATTGCACCAGCTTATTCGGGGATTTTTTCGAATTCTCGTCTCTCTCATTAACTGTCTCACTAATGTCTCGCTAATGCAGATTCCTTCCAATCTCCAGTAGACGCCATTACACCCGATAACTGTACAAGAGCACCGAAATTTCGAGGATCGAGCTCGATAATTCTCTTGGCAACTTTCAAAGAAAATGACTTTTCGCCGTTTTCGATGCAACCTCCAAAACCGCTGACCACATAGTTGCATCGGACTGAAAAGGAATCTCATCGATAAGATCAATTGATTCTTTCAGACAACCCGCTCTAGCAAAAAGATCGATCATGCAAGAGTAGTGTTCAATACCAGGATTGATGCAATACTCGTTTTTCATTATGTAAAACCATTTTTTCCCTTCTTCGACTAATCCACAATGATCGCAAGTCGATAAAACTGCAGTAAAAGTAACTTCATTAGGTGTAACATTCACTCCTCTCATTTCTTGAAACAGAGCCAAAGCTTCGACTCCGAATCCATTTGTAGTGTAGCCCACCAACATTGAATTCCATACAACCTCGTCGAATTTCGTGATTTGGTCAAATATTTTTTGACCGTTTCTTACGAGACCGCACTTACAGTAGAAGTCTATAAGGGAAGTTGCTATGACCTGGTCGGAATCTACACCAATGATAGTAGCTCGAGCAAAAATCTGTTCGCCGAGTTCGAGCGATGCAATTCCAGCACATGCAGTAATTGCACTAGCTAGGCTGTATCTATCCATGCTTAAGTTGTTGTCGTTGTTCATTGTGCAAAAGCGTTCTAATACTTCCACAGCATAGCCATTCTGACTCAGATGCTGCTGATGGTTGTTGTAGTAGAAACTCTGGTTCTGGACGCGAGAGCTGCGGGGGGAGGGGGAATTGGCCCGATTTGAGGCTCTCTTCGCCGTAGAAATCGTAGATCTGGCGCTTCTGAAGGTCGATGAGTACATCGTAGGCTTCGGAAATCTGCCTGAATTTGGCCTCGGCCTCCTGCTTGTTGGTGTTTTTGTCGGGATGCCAAATCATGGCGAGGCGGCGGTAGGCTTTCTTCAAGTCTTCGTCGCTGGCGTTGCGGTTCACTTTCAGGATGTTGTAGTAATCAATCCCCATATATGTATTCCGATTCCGATTGTTGAAATTGGGGTTTTTTTTTTCTTAATTCCTGTTACGGGAAGTGATTGATTGCAGATGTGAGAGGAGGAGGGCGGTGGTGGTGGGCGGGACTGCGGTGGTTGAAATTGAGAGTAGTAGAGAAATTGGGTTTGAACAAGGAAGGTGGTGACGAGGTGTGAGATTGGGAAGGAGGAAGAAGGTGGGATTATTTTTTTTAATTTTGTTCATATGAGTTTTTACCTGGAAAAAAACTAGGGCACGATGCAAGAAAGGGGAAGATGAAGATTATAGTATTTATACCTATTAATTTCGTAATTGATGTATTTTCGAAGGATATTTTCGACATTACACATGGGTTACAAAATGGGATTCAATATGTGATAACCAGTCAAGCCAATTTTGGCTTGACTAGCAATAATTCGAATGGGGTATTAAATGGGTGGGCCCAACAGTCAAGGATAGTAACTCAAGCAAACCAAACGTTGTACAAAACGGTATAACCCATGCCATCCCTTGTAATACCCCCAACCAAAGAGGCCCTAAATATAATATCTATATTCACGTTTCTCCAACTTATCAGATTTATTTTCTCTTATTTTCTTTTCTCTCTTCTCTCTCGTTCTCTCCATCTCGTTCTCTCCCTTTCGTTTTTTTCCCTCTCTCAATCTCTATCTCCCAACATCGATCTCGCTCCTCAATAATGGTTGGGCTGGTGACGGTGGCTATGATCGGTGGACTATGGTGGCGGAAAACAACAGATCAACAAATTCCGGCGATGGATCGAGAGGGTTTGGTGGAGGCGGCAATGGCAGGTGGAGGCAACGGCGGCCGGTGAAGGCACATCGGCGAGTTGAGGCGGCGCCCGTCGGTGGCCGCCGGTGAAGGCGGTGGCGGTGGGTGGGGGTCGGCGGCTGCGGGTGGAAGGTGTGGTGGCGGTTGTGCGGGCAGGGCTGTGATAAATATTATGGAAAGTATTTTTTGACTAATTAATTGGATCTAATTTTCTTGTGTTTTGAAAGATTTTGCTTGATTTAGGTTGTTCAAATGTCAGATCTAGGTTTTCCCAAGTTGGTAGGTGATTATAGCCGCGACGGCTGCGAGCGTGGGTGTTAGGGTTGGCGGCGGCTGCTAGGTTTTGCGACGGCTAGGAGTTTTTCGTGGCTAGGGTTTGGTAGTAAAACATAGTACAGTGTAGTATACTATACTACACCGTAGTATACCATAGTACACCACTACACTATAGTATACTACAGTACGTCGTAGTATACCATAGTCTACTACAGAAAAATTAAAAAATATGTAAATTGAAATTAAAAAAAATAAAAAAATAGTATATATATATTTTTTTTTGTAATTCTGAATATTATGTAGAAAAAAAGAAGGAAAAAATAAAGAAATTTTTATAATAGTGTATAAAATGCTAAAATGAATAACGAGAAAAATGAAAACAAACGAATATTCTGAAGAAAAAAGAATATTAGATGAAAATATGAAAATATTAAATGCACGATAAATAAAATGATAAATGCAATTTGGAATTTACTTAATGAATATTTCGAATTTGTGAGTGGAGGGCATTTTTGGAATGAATTTTATAAAGGATGTGAAGCAAATGTTTAGTTAGACTTGTCATTTAGTTCAAATAAGTTTTGTCACGAGAAACCTATATCCTAAGACCCCTAATTAGTAAGTCAACAATCCCCGTCTCGTAAATGCTACATCTTATGTAATACACCGTGTATTATTTAAAACTTACTTTAAATCACACACATTTTATTATCCAATTAATATTTACTTATAAAAAAAAAACCACACTTTTTTCTTATAAATATATTTATTTTGAATTTATATATATTTATAGGGTAAATTACAACCACACTCATTACGTAAGGTCAAATTACGAAAAACCCCTCATGGTTGGGTAATTACAACTACACATCAACTATGAATCTTTTGCACGTCCACTCTTGCGGTGTCAAATTTAGTGGAATTTTCTAGATTACATGAACTATTCTTAAGTTTGTACCCGTTTTATCCCATTCGAGCTCCATATTTTGAAACAAGATGATCATAATATGCGTGTGAATTGACTTGTAGATATCAGATCGTAGTGCATCAAAAACTGCATGTTTGCACAAAACGAGTACAAATTAGATAAGATTCAACGGAATCTAGAAGATTATGTTGAATTTGACACCATAAGGGTGGACGTGTAAGAAGCTTCGTAGTTGAGGGTAGTTATAATTACCCAAACATGAGGGGTTTATTTGTAATTTGACCTTACCTAAGGGGTGTGGCTGTAATTTACCCTATATATTTGTAATATAATAGAGATAAAAAAAAAAGAAATAGGATAATTGTTGAAACACGTGGCGGATGTCACCACACAAGCAAAAATAGCCACTGCCACAGGAGTGGAGGAGTAGACTTCTTTCAGAAGCAGTATCTGCTCCCACAAAATTCGTCGAAAAAAAAAAATTATATTCAGAAGAATGAATCAATCAATGAATATACGAATTCAAGCTCCTCCATCTCTGTAAGTATCAATTATTTTCAAATCTCTCTCTCTCTCTCGCGCGCGCGCGCGCGCTCTTTCATGGTTAGTTGTGTGTGTAGGTGTAATTACAGTTTCTGTAGCATTTGGATTGAGCTTCTCAATTGTTATCCCTTTTTGGTGATTTTTTTGATTTTTGGGGTTTAATTTGTGAATGGGCAGGCTTGTGTAGATGTTTTTAGTTCACCGTCACAAATTATTCACTTTCAATTAGGGTTTCACTGTTGCTTCAAGGTGGATTGGGAAATGGGATGCATTTGTTATGAACCGAGCTAGATTCACAAGAACTCAGTGGGGCGAAATCCTAGTTTCAAAGTCAAAATGAAAAAAAATTGGAAGATGCAAAAAAAAAAAAAAAAAAGGACTGATGTTTTTCTAGTTATATATTGTATTTATTCAGGTGGGCAACTCGACTAATCGAAACTTAGAAAACTAACAGCCAGTTGCACAGCATGCTACCATGACGGAGCATTTTTGTTGGCAGCTTGTGCCATTTCTACGCTCTCGTCCATTCGGATGATGAATTATCTCTCGGCTGCAGATGGGGTTGATATAGGCTAAGTTGCATGTTAGTTACGGACATGACTTGGTTATGCTGTAAGATAATACTGCGTTAGATACTTTTGAATAAGGCGGTTATTTTTCAGGGAAGTGAGATGATTTGACTGGGAAGAGTGATTCCCTGTAGATTGATTAATTTTTTTTTTTTACCCAAGTCACTAGTAAACTTCTTCTGAAACTTAGATTTTATCTTCATTTCTTTTTTGACTGAATAGTTAATGAAGTGAACATTTTTTCTCTTTTGCCTTCTGCCCTGTTAGTGTCGAAATAATATAATAGTAATGTAATTTCTGATGTCTATGCTACTTTTCATGACAGACTACCTCCACGAGCGAAACTCTCCTCCCAGGGTACGTGTCCTTGCATAAGGGTGCAAATGGAGGCTTTTGCCAATTCTAATCTGTTGAAGACAGCCCTGGTTGCAAGATGCTCCTTTGGATTGTCCAGTTCTCCTATAAATGCCGAACGATCGCTTAATTGTTCAGCACAATTAGGAGCATTAGTTACCTCCGGATCTCAAGATGTAACGACTAATGCACTTGTTGGTAATGAAAAGATCGGAGTATTATTACTGAACCTCGGAGGGCCCGAGACTCTAGATGATGTTCAGCCGTTCTTGTTCAATCTTTTTGCCGATCCAGTTAGTATATCTTGGTTTTGGTTTTTCTTCTGATTTTGTTGCCAAGAGTATAATTGATTGTTTAAATTTAATTGTTTTTCTTGTTTCTGTATTGGAGAGTAGGATATTATTAGACTGCCGAGATTGTTCCGTTTTCTTCAAAAGCCTTTGGCTCAATTCATATCTGTTGCTAGAGCCCCAAAGAGCAAAGAAGGATATGCTTCAATTGGTGGCGGTTCTCCTCTACGGCGTATTACTGATGATCAGGTATGATTTCCTTGAAGCAACTGAAACTCTTTGCCCCAATTTCGATAATTTGTTGTAATACATTATTTCTGCTAAAAATAGGATATATACTAGATTGGGATTTGATTTATCAAGAATACATAAAAAAAAAACACTAAATCATGAATCTGTAACGCTTTACTTTTATAACCGATTATCTATAGTTAGAATATCACATCGAAAAGATGGCATCTGACAGCAGTGAGAATGAAACATGTATTACTATATACAGGGAGTTTTTGTGTTTTATGTATTACGGATAGGGAACCTAGGAGGAAATCGGAAGCACTCAGTCCGTTGAGCTATTGTACTGTATTTGTAGAACTTTGATTGATGGGTACCGATATGGCTTCTGTCCTTCGTTCTTATTGTGTAAATATGTTAAACATCCTCAGCTCTGCAACCTGTAGTGAGTCTGGTGAAGATGTATTGACATCTTCAGTGTTCATAATTTTGTTCGTATTATCTCTCTTTAAAACTTGATCAAATTCCTATCTCTAGGCTGAGGACTTGAGAAAGTCACTATGCAGCAAAAATGTCCCAGCAAAAGTGTATGTTGGTATGCGGTACTGGCATCCATTCACTGAAGAAGCTATTGAACAGGTATTCTCGCTACCAGTCTCGTTTGAACGTAATCCGTATTGATGATGGTCATTATGTTTCGCAACACACCTAGCTGATAAGTGGTGAGGATTTGTTTGATGAATGCTTGGCATGAACACTTGGCATGAACACTTGGCTCTAAGCTGTCACATAAATCTTGTTTTGCATGGCTCTAGAAAAATAATTTGCATTCCTCCGATGTTTGGGGGTAGCAGACCCCAGACTGTTATGAACTATACTTTTTTTTGTTCCCTCCATTTTTCATTAAAGTGCTGCTTCACAATATACTCTACATTTGCATAAAACAAATTACTGGTTATTTTAGTAAGTTGAGTCAGTTAACTTTATGATAGTAGTCATGTATTAAGTAAGATGTCGATATCTTGTTATAAATGTAAAAGACTATTCAGCCATTACTTTTCCCTCCTCCAATGCTTCTAAAGCTCGTGTGGTTTACACGAATTGGTTTACTAGTACCTAATGCTTTTTTACTCCTCATTTATCCCAGATCAAACGTGACGGAATTACAAAACTCGTTGTTCTTCCTCTCTACCCTCAATTCTCGATCTCAACAAGTGGTTCAAGTCTTCGCCTACTGGAAGCTATATTCAGGTGCATCTGTTTGGATATAGAACTCAGACTGTGGAGTCTGTAATAACTGTCAAATCATGTTTCATGATAATCTATCTAAATTCTTAGGGAGGACGAATATCTAGTCAACATGCAGCACACTGTAATTCCTTCATGGTACCAGCGAGAAGGATACATAAAAGCCATGGCAAATTTGATTGAAAAGGAGCTCGAAAAGTTTCGCTCCCCGAAGGAGGTAAAACCTCCAGAATGAACATTTCATATGTTCTGTTCCTTTTGTTGCATAATAGCTCACATTATTTACTACAAGTTATTTAAACAATCTAATTAGAAACTGCAAAAACCCAAAGTGGTTAGTTTATTTAAACAATTAGTCTCCTTCATTTGATAATAGTTCATTTATCGCAGGTGATGATTTTCTTTAGCGCTCATGGGGTACCACTTGCATATGTGGAAGAAGCTGGTGATCCATACAAAGCCGAGATGGAGGAGTGTGTGGATTTGATCATGGAAGATTTGGAAAAGAGAAAGATAAATAATTCATACACCCTTGCCTATCAGGTCTTATATATTCCACCGCTCGAACTTTATATTCTGCTGTCCAAAATTGTTAGCCCTGTTTTAACGCATCCAGATTAGATGTAAGCTTGTCTAAATTAAACAGTGCTACATATATGGAGCGGAGTGTTACCTCTTTCGCTCCATTTGCAGCTCTTTATGCCAAGTTTGGTCTGATGTGAGTAAGTTAAAATGGCATCTAATGCAGCCAATGTAATTTATAATACTCCATTTATTTAAAATCCATCAATTAGTATTTGGATAGTTGATGAAGATTTTCTTTGGGCATCAAATAGTCCGTTTTAGTGGGCATCAAGTATTTATAAGCGGTTTCTTTGTCGCAAGAACTCTTGCGCGTGCCGATTACCAATTCTTTGAATTCTCTTGGGTAGATTTATGAAGTATATCAGCTGATTGAAGTTGAGATCAAAGCATTACTGTTTATCACGTGCTTGTAATTTATCATTTTTAGTAATTTGGCAAGATGCATGATTTTGTGCTAATGTGATTTTTGTTGCTTTAATTGGTAACAGAGTAGAGTTGGACCAGTCGAATGGTTGAGACCATACACGGATGAGACAATCATTGAGCTCGGAAGAAAAGGAGTGAAAAGTCTTCTAGCTGTTCCAATTAGGTGAGGCTGAACGGTTATAGTTTACCACCATTTATTTCAGTTATAGTTTTGGTTATTCACATGTTTTCAATTAAATATTTTTTTACTACAGTTTTGTTAGCGAACATATCGAGACATTGGAGGAAATAGATGTCGAGTACAAGGAATTGGCTCTAGAATCTGGGATAAAGAATTGGGGACGTGTTCCCGCCCTTGGCTGTGAGCCTACTTTCATTTCAGATTTGGCTGATGCAGTGATTGACAGCCTTCCATATGTTGGTGCTATGGCTGTCTCAAATCTTGAAGCTCGACAGGTAATTCAAACCTTTACCCAACGTAGGAATTTTTCTCGAAAATGTCGACATCATTGCTTTAACAAACAGGAGAAATTTATATCTTTATCAGAAGTACAATTGTAGGAATTTTTCTCGAAAATGTCGACATCATTGCTTTAACAAACAGGAGAAATTTATATCTTTATCAGAAGTACAATTAATATTTCTGTAATTTCACTTTCTTTGATTTTCATCTATAGTTATCTTTTTCGTTTATGTTTTCTTTTGCTTGGCTGATTATTTTTCTTCTTCGAGGGTTGTCTGGTGGGTAGTGAATGACATTGATAAATACACTAAAGTACATATTTTTACGTTAAGACTCTCTTTATCTGTTAAAGATTAAGATTCTTTGTGATGAGTTCTTTTTAATATTCTGCTGTTTGAACGACTGTCAAATTTAAAAAGAGGTTTTAATGATGATGTGTTTGGTGCAGTCATTAGTGCCACTTGGCAGCGTAGAAGAGCTATTGGCAGCATACGATTCACAGCGAAGGGAGCTTCCGCCGCCAGTGGTCGTTTGGGAATGGGGCTGGACAAAAAGTGCCGAAACATGGAACGGAAGAGTTGCCATGCTGGCGGTCTTTTTTGTGCTGCTACTTGAGTTAGCCACTGGGAAAGGTTTTCTTCATCAGTGGGGTATACTGCCCTTGGCTTGATCACAGTTTATTAATATCCCTCACTTTTTCTTTGTACACATGCATTATGAGACATATAAATATATCGTCTCTATAAAAAAAAAGTAGCTAAAAATTTTTGAAGGAAAAATTAAAGAAACGAAACGTAGATCTGTACAAGTCGGACATAGAAAAACATCATCGGACCTCTGTCTTGATACAGGTTTAAATGCATAATACCTGGTTCTTAATGAGCTTATAGGAGTTGACGAAGACCGTGAAATGACAAGGGTTCCGAAGAATTTAAGTTGGATATATAAATGTAAAAGATCCTTTCGCTTCAACTTTTCCTTTGTAGTATAATTTTCTCCTTTTGTTACTTCTCCTTTCGTTTTCTATTTATTATTATATCTTCGGCATTCCTCGGTACTCAGCCTATATATTTATTAAAGTTATTGTACGAGCAGCACGTAAGTTCTCAAAGGAAGCTACGAAAAGTAACATTTTTAATTCCCTTTTGTTTTCGTGTACTTAATTTTCTTCTTATACTCATTGACACCCCAGACGGAACTTTTTCGTTTTCATGTATTACTGGATCGATAATCTCCGTATTATTACATACAGAGTAGGGAACATGAAACATGTAACAAGTTTATGAAGAATATGAAATACAAGTTGTTTATTATTACAGGCACACTAATTAGAAAACAATCCTTTTGACTTTGGTTGTCAAATGTCCAGGAAATTATTTTAATTAAGTGAGAATAAACTCCCCGCTTGCATGAACTGCTTTCACTTGCTTTTCGTACTCATCTTCGTCGTCTTCTTCGTCGACTGGCTCTTCATCGTTTTTGCTTTCTTCATCGTCTTCACCGCCCCACCCGAAACCCGGTACATTTCGGGACGAGGGAGGCGGTTTTCTTGCTTCACTTACGATCTTCATTATTTCGTCGACGCTCTGAAGTGAAAAGCTCGGGTTATCTTTCTTGTAGTACAGTGCTTGGTTAGTTTCTGCGAGTTCTCTCGGCAAGTTCTTCATGAACCATGCATGGCTTTTGATCTCCTTTATATTTATTCTCTGCATATATTTCATGCATGTCAGTTTACGTATTTACGGAGAAAGAACGTAGTTGTTGTGAATTTACGTATTTACCCTTGAGGGATTCGTGACGAAGATACGGGAGAGTAGGTGCTTGCATTCCTGGGAGATGTGAACATAGTCTGGGATTTTGTACTGAATACCCATTATTCTCTGCAGCAAATTAATTAAGGTTTTTGGTATTAGTAAAAAAAATTAAGATTTAATATTTAAGATGTGAGTGAATAAATAATATAATATTACTGAAATAGTTTTTCTGAAATTCTTTGGGTCGGTTGGGTCTTCAAATGGGTAAGCTCCCACCAGCATTACATATAGAGTCACTCCACACGACCACACATCTGCCAACTTCTCCAACCAAAAAAAAAAAAAAAAAAATTTTCAAAAATAAATAAAAAACTAATTAAGTAATATGGTAAATTACACCTACATACTTGAGATATGCTAAAATAACTTTAAGGTCCCTACAATATCGGTAATTACAATCACCCCTTATGTATTGGATAAGTTATTTCAGTAGGATTCTAACAGGCTACTAGTTTCAAGCAGTGGCGGAGACAACACAGAGGTCCGGGGCGACATGGCTCTCGGCTCTCCTAACATTTCTTAAATCCTTATTATTTTTGATACAAAGATTTATAAATTTTCGTCTATTGTAGCATTAACGGACCCACATGAAACAAATATAGTGCATAACGGTCCCAAGAACATGAAATCTTGACTCCGATAGTTGTTTGCAGGGGTGTTGATGTAATTACCAATACTACATGAACCTTAGAGTTATTTAACATACACTAGGGGTGAGGTGTAAATAATTTACCCTTAATTAATACTATCAATAAAATTTCTTCCAAAAAAACAAAAAAAAAAAATACTATGAATAAAATGGGTTGGAGTATATTTGTTATAAAATTTTCAAAATAAAATATTATAAGAGGAGTGATGTGGGTATCGATATACCTTGCCGTCGTATTCACGGCGAGAGAGAACTTCCGGTGCAATGTAAGCCGGAGTTCCGACGGTGGATTTGGGTCTCGAGTGCAGCACCGACGACTGGGTCAACCCAATTAAATAAAAATGTACAGGATTTTAGAAATTCAATTCTTGAATAAAAATTAATTAATTTGAATTAAAATTAAAAAAAAAACCTTGGAATAACCAAAATCGCAGATTTTAAGGCGGGGTGCAGGGCTGCCATCTAAAAGCGTGTTTTCCAATTTCAAATCTCTATGGCATATGTTCTGCATAACGTACCGCATTTTCCAATAATAATTAATTTTGCCAAAATAAATAAATACCACAATTTTTTTAATGAAGAAAATACAGAAATATCGAAAATTTAATTACCATGGAGTGGCAGTAGCAGACTCCAGAAATCAACTGCTGAAAGAAGTACCTCGCCTAATCATGATCACATGCATGGTCGATGCATCGGTTTTCCGTAAAAAAAATACAGAAAAATGTAGAAAATTTATTTGATGGATCGGAGTCGAAATAAATACCTCGTCTTCACTAAATCTACCGGCACTGCAGATTCGATCGAATAGTTCGCCACCGGATGCATACTCCATCACAATTAGCAGATGTGTTGGTGTCAATACAACCTAGTATATATATATTTTTAAACACCAAACATATATATATCATGGACTATGGAGTAATTAATTGCCAAAAAAATAAAATAAAAACATAATAGATTATATTTGAACTATACATACATACATACCTCTTTGAAACGAATTATATTCGGATGTCGAAGCGATCGGTGGTTTATAATTTCTCTCGCTACATTTTCATCAATCTGCGCTTGCGTGCATTTTGTCAAACAATTAAAATAAAAATAAAAAGCCATTAAACTAAAACTTTCTTCGAGTTGAGAAAATTATGAAGTGTAAAAAAATAAGTGAATGAATATATACATATATATATACATGTATATGCGTGTATATTACCTTGTGTCCACGCTCAATGTATTTCATGGCGACAAGTTCGTTGGTTTCTTTGTGCCTTAGAAGCCTGGCTACACCAAAATTTCCTGCCCCCAAATCTTTCACCACATCGTACTTGTCCATTTTTCTCTCACTAGATTTTTAATTTCTTTTCTCTCACTAGAATTTTTTCTTTTAATTTCTCTCACTAGATTCTTCTCAAGTAGTAGAATTAGCTATATATATATATATATACTATGCTACACGGACACGGATACGTGGACACGGCGATACGCGGATACGGACACGGTGATACGGCATTTCCAAAAAAATAGGATACGGACACGCGGGGGATACGCGTAAATATAAAAAATATAAGAGTATATTTATAAATAATAAAAATATAGGGGTACATTTATAAATTATAGAAAATATGTATAAGTCGTCATCGCATAAGAGAACCGCTCGCCCTTGATGCTCGTGTTCTTGGTCGCCGTCGCATGCTAGACTTTTGGAGTTTTGGGTGAACTTACAAAGAAAATAGAGGAAATGTGTATTACAGAGAAAAGAAAATGCGCATTTTTTTTATTAGGGTTATCTCTTAAAACGTCAGAAAAGTGACCTAACTTTTTTTAAATTGTGGATACTGCCCGACACGGGTGTCCTACTTTTAGCGAAATTACGACACGGCCCGACACGGGTGTCCGAGAAGTGTCTGGGTGTGTCCGGGTGTCCAGGTATCGGATACGGGGACTCTTCACCTTTTAGAAGTGTCCGTGCAGCATAGTATATATATATTATTACAGATCTCTCTCTTTCTCACCCTCTCTATTTATCCATCTAACATATATATGTGTGTGTGTCAGTGTGTGTATTGGTACGTAGTTTATAAATTATGATATCTGCATGCATATATGAACATGGATAACACAATTATTGACCGACTATATATATATATATATATATATATATATATATATATATATATATATATATATATATATATATATATATATATATATATATATATATATATTATTTAAATAAATCTACGTGCATGTGATCTGTACGTTAGAGTAAATGAGACTATATGACTACTCACATGCATGCACAAATATTTATTGATTAATTAGTTGGTACTTAATTACTCAAGTCAAATATAGCTTTTCCAAAGAATTAAAATAATTTAGGGGGAGTAATTATAAAATCTTCATCTTAATTAAATAAAAACTCAATAGTAGCTAGGTAGTATTAATTGTAATAATTGACAATTATATTTCGAATTATATTTTGATGACATTAATTAATATTTGATCACCTAATGGAAAAAAAAGTTTTTTTTTTTTTTTAATTTATGAAAAGTTGGGCAAAAATAATGTAACAATATTTTAATGAATGAAGAATTATGTCATGTGATGCTGGTTATTATTATCACTACTATGTACACACAATGTAGTGGGGAGATTCAATGAATGGCCACTGATTCAATTAGATACATGCAATAACTCAACTTTCACGCACAAACACACTCACTATGTGTTTTTTTTGTTCTCATATAATTAATTATTGCAAATTAAAGTTAAGAGGGGGGTGTTGAATAGGGATCACGTGGGGAAGGCGTGCCAGAGAAATGGAGGTCCTTATTATGGGAGTCCATTTATGGGGGAATACGATGCTACACTCGGTGATTTTCACCGGGTGGCTCTTTTCTTGATATGTGTCTTTTTTTATTTATTTTATAATTATATTTCTAAAATCCATTGGGCCATAACTGAACCCGTAGTGGGAATCTTATTAATTAGGGTGTCTGGTTATATTCACCAGGTGTAGCATATAATTTCCCCATTTATGGATGAGACAACACTACTTACGGTTCGATTCATTGGCAAGTTAAAAAATTTATCAAACGGTGATTTAATTTTTTACGAATTTGGGGTAGCGTACCTTGAGAAAAGTTGAGATTTTTTTTGTGTGCATAAAAAAAATATGTAAATAAAAAAAAAATTCTTAGAACTTCTTTTGCATTAATTTAGATTTTAGTTAGGCTAATTAATGAAAATGAGGATGGCTAAATACTATTTATTATAAGTATTAATTGACGGTACGGTGAGCTTGAGTCCACCCTCGCAAAGGGGTGAACTCGCTCCTGATTCGATCATATAAATAAATAAGCATAAAACTAGGTAAGTAGGGGGTGTACATGAGTCGAGCAGCCTTAATAAAAACTCGAACTCGTGTTTACAAGCTTTTCGTCTCGTTTTTTAGTTCATGAGTTTCATAAGCTAATGAGCCGGTTTGCGAACTTTATTTGAATTAATATATATTCGTATTTTTGTATTATAAATATAGTAAATAATAAAATAATAATATAAATCGGTGCAAATGGTGGGTTGGATCGCCAAAAACGGCGGTGTACGAGGCGGAGACAACTTATGCATGTGTGTACCACTTTTGACTTTCGATTCCTTGAACCATTTTTGTCAAGCCACCCCATTATATTATTAATTAATTAATGTAATCAATTTACAGATAATATAAACACTAAATTTTTTTTAAACTTAATTAGGGATTTTATTTTTAACATTTTCATTTGAGTGATTGCTTTAAATTTTCATCTTGAGTATTAATATTTGTATAACCAATATTAATTATTTATCAGTTACTAAAGAATAAAACATTAATTATGTGCCAAATCATGCATACTCCAAGCTAAAAGATAATTTAATTTATAACAAATTTTCTTTTATAACATATAATTACTTTTAAAATCTCTATAAATATTAGAATATATTTCTTAATTCTATATAATATTTTAGTTTTGTGTAACATAATAGATCTTTTGAATTATTAATTCTATGTAAACTAGTATTTACCCGAGCGAAAAGTTAAAAAAAGTTATATGAAAAGTTAAAAAATGTACAAGTGTAACATTTTGTTACAAAAATCTGAAAAAAATTTATTGATTGAATAAAAAGTATTAGCAAATACGCACACATCAAACAATAAGTGCCTATTAGAAAAGACCTACATTTTCTTTGGATTAAATAGGCCTTCTATTAATGTGGATCTCATTTGGACCGGCCCACCAATTACAGTCAATTACAAAATTAGCCCTTCACCAGTTTCGATTGGGAATATCCAAATCAACTCAACACACTATTTAAAATTAAACAAAAAAAAAAAAAAAAAATATTGTTCAATAAAATTTAGTTTTGCGATATTTTCATTTTGAATTATGAAAATTTTGATTTATTTCTCCGATTAGTTTGTTTAGATATGTGATATGCATAATTGAGCCAACCCAATGGGCCTACAAATTACTTACTTACTGGGCCACGAGCCCAATATCGAAGACCACTATCACCGAGGCCCAGTCACCTTCTAGTAAAGTTTGGCCCCGACAATCTCAACTAAGCTATAAATAAAGGTTTGAATTCATTTCTTAAGATACGTCCTATTAACTGAGCAATACTACAATACGTATTCTCTGGACTATTTCTACTATCAGCATGTCTGACTTGAGCGTCGGAGGGGTTTCCGCCGGATAACCCCCGGCTTAGTTCATGTGTGCTCATTTTGCAGGAACCTCAGGATCATCAAGTTGTCAAGCTACTGATCTGCTTTGCTCTCCCAACTCATTTTCTACACCACCTTAGGTGAGCTATATTTTAGCATCATCAATATGAGAATCTGATTTTCAGTTTGATTTTATTTTCGGAAAAATTAGCTGGAGGTCGCTAAAAAATATTCTATGTAACTATAAAGAAATGCGCATTTTGCAATTTTACTAAAAGTCCCTGTACGCTCCCCTTCTAAAGGAACCGTTTAAGAAAACTATCAGTAACGACGACGCGGTGATTTGCACAGCTTATTAATATTAATAAACAACTTAGTTAAAATACAATGAAGAAAAAACTAAAATAAGAATAGATGCGCTTCCCACATCACATATATAACTTACATAGACAGTTTAGTTACACAATTTAGACAACTTATTTGCATAGTATAGTTACACAGCTTAGTTTAAGCTGAAGAAAAAAAATTAAATATCTCGTGCGCACATTACCATCACCATCACCAAACAATTCTTAATATTTTCGGTTCGGTTTCCATGATTATTCGGCTACAATGGAAATAAATGAGTGTAACCAAAATCGTATATGTGTTTATGCATGTGTGGTTACGTATGTATGCTTATGTGTGTCTGTGTATGGCCGTGTGACAGAATTTCGGCGATGGTAAATTCGACAGGATGAAGGCGTGTTTGGTGAATAAAAAGTATTTTATAGCAAATCGCAGAAGTCCGTTTGTCCTAATATAAAATGGTATTACGATGGAGGGGTGTTTAGCAAATTGCCCCTTTATTTTTATCAAAATAATTCCAAAAATATTACAATTTATTTTTGTATACTTATAATATTAATTTTATTATTTATTCTTTAGATGAATAAAAAACAAAATTTCCAATTGATAGTATCCATTAACATTTTTATGTAAATAGCACTTCTACCTATGTGGTTTGAATTTTGTGCATATAACCTCCTGTATTTTAATATAAACATATAACGCTCTTGCACTTTCAATTTTTTTTCCCAAATGAACATGATTATTTACCAAGTGGAATAATATATGTAAGTTATGTGCTTATATTAAAAGTAAAAGAGGTCATGCGCACAAAGTTCAAATTACAAAGAGGTCATGTGCTTATATTGAAAATACTAGGGGTCCATGTGCACAAAACTCAAACCATAAGGGGGTTAAGTGCTATTTATTCTTTATATTTTAAATAAGTAATTTTACAAAAAGAAAAAGAAAAAAAATATATTCATTTTCAGTATTTACCTCTTGAGCCAAAATAAAACCCCACAAAACCCCTAATTCAGAGAAAACAATCGACAAAGGCTCAGTTCAAAAACTCCATCGGCTACAATGGCTTCCATCTCTTCGTCCTCTTTCAATTAGGTTTCCGCGTAAGTTTCAGACAATCTTCAATTTCCCAATTTCTTCGTTATCCGAGGTTCTTTTTATTCAACGATGATCGATTGAAGGTTCAATTTTTTTAATTTTTTTTCTCTCCATTTTCTTCGCTCTGTAATTTTCCTTCCATCCATCGCTATTTACAATCAACTTCAGTTAAATGCATCGAACTTTCGCCTTGTTGAGGAGCCGTACATCATCACTCAGAAACAGAGCCACAACTCTCTCCCAGTTGAACAACAGCGCCTCCCCAATTAATAAAAATGGGGTTTTTGAATTCAGAGCGCTCATGTACAGCACTTACACATTCACCAGGCGACCACCCGACCCGAATGACCCGGCCACCTTGATGAAGGAGGACGGTGTTGCCGTTTCTTCGCAAATGTGGATCGAAAATTTCCGAGAGCCCGATAAAACCGTTACTAATTTATCGAATTATTTGAGAAGGTTCGAGCTGTGGGTGTTGGCTTATCAAAAGGTTTGCGCGGATGAAACCGGAGCTTATATGCCTCGTAGCTCAATCACACGCTCTGCGCTCGAGGACTTGCTAGCCCTACGGAATGCTGTACTCGATAGCAGGTTTAAATGGGGAGCTAGATTGGAGTTCTTCATTAGGTCACCGAAGGATAAAACCGATTACGAGTCGTTGTCGAAGAGGAAAATTAGGGCAATTTTGACAACCACTCAGAGAGCTGCTTTTCAGGACAGAATTGTTCAGGAAGTGTTGTTCTTGATCTTGGAGCCCGTTTACGAGGCGAGGTTTTCGCAGAAGTCGTTTGCGTTTAGGCCTGGAAGGAACGCTCATACGGTTTTGAGGGTGATAAGAAGGAGCTTCGCGGGCTATTTGTGGTATTTAAAGGGCGATTTGAGTACGGTCTTGGACGGTATGAAAGTTGGGATGGTGATTAGTGCTTTAATGAGGGATGTTAGGGATAAGAAGGTGATTGATTTGATTAAGTCCGCACTAATCACGCCAGTTGTCACTAGTAGAGACGATGGTGTGAAGAAAAAGAAGATTAAAAGAAAGTACCAGAAGAAGAGGGTTCTTGCGGAAGACGAGCCAAAGCCGGATCCTTATTGGTTGGAATCTTTTTTCGGATTTGCACCGGAGGAGGCTGAGATTCAACCTTCATGGGGTCATTGTGGAATCCTCAGCCCTCTATTGGCTAACATATGCCTAGACGAATTGGACCGTTGGATGGAAGATAAAATCAAGGAGTTTTACAAGCCGTCCAAAAGTGACGTCATATGGAACAGTCCCGAGGGAGAGGCGGAGCAAGGGAATACTTCTTGGCCAGAGTTTGTTCCGACTAGCGGCCCCGACAAGACTCGGAAGATCGATTACATACGCTACGGTGGCCATATCTTGATTGGTGTTAGAGGACCGAGGGCTGATGCAGCGATTCTGAGGAAACAGTTGATCGAATTCTGTGACCAAAAGTATATGTTGAAGCTCGATAACGAGAGCCTCCCTATCGAACACATAACTAAAGGGATCATGTTTCTTGATCATGTGTTGTGCAGAAGAGTTGTGTACCCCACTCTGAGATATACTGCCACCGGTGGAAAAATCATCAGCGAAAAAGGTGTGGGCACGCTTTTGTCGGTCACAGCTAGTTTGAAGCAGTGCATTAAACAGTTTAGGAAGTTGGATTTTGTGAAAGGGGATAGAGATCCCGATCCACAGCCTTGTTTTAGGATGTTTCATGCCACACAGGCACACACGAACGCTCAAATGAACAAGTTCTTGTCCACTATAGTCGAGTGGTACCGTTACGCTGACAACAGGAAAAAGATAGTAAATTTCTGCTCGTACATTATCAGAGGTTCACTCGCGAAGCTCTATGCTGCAAAGTACAAGCTCAGGTCACGGGCGAAGGTTTACAAAGTTGGTGCTCGAAATTTGAGCCGCCCTCTTAAGGAAAAGAAAGGGCAGTCGCCCGAGTATCATAATTTGTTGAGAATGGGTCTCGCTGAATCGATCGATGGGCTGCAGTATACGAGGATGTCTCTTGTGCCTGAAACCGACTATTCGCCTTTTCCACTTGGATGGAGGCCTGACCATGAGAAGGCGTTGCTCGAGTATATAAAGCTTGAGAACTCACAGACACTTGAGGAGCAGCGCACGTGCCTTATGGAGCAAGGTTTGGTTTCGCCTCAGGATTACATTTCGATGCTCGTGTGGAATTACAAAAAGAATGCTGTTTTGTTGCCTCGTATTTCCTCTACGCTGAGTGGTGAGGGTGACGTAAAAAGAGATGAAGAAGGGTTGTTATTGGGCTCGGATGATGAAATGAGTGACACGGGGTTTTGTGAGGGAGACAAGGAAGAAAGGATCGATGCGGCGGAGATGTGAGATAACCTTGTGTATGCTGAAGTAGTTGTCAGTGAACTTAAAAACGGTTAAAAGGCCTCGAGCCCTTTTACTCGGAGCGCAAACACACAGACAACAAAAATTGATCGAGAGATAACAAGTCGTGACACTTGACAGCAAGTGGATTGAAGAAAGTCGAGAGAAGAGTAAGTGATTCGATACCTTTATAGGTATTTAATTTGCTCGCCACAATCGAAATCTGGTATTGTTTTTTCTACTAAAAAGATTGCTGTTGATAACAACTAACCTGGATTCATGCATATGCATTTGTGGTAGAATGTTTACGCGGGCCTTGTATGATTTCATAATCACCGCCCTTTTTGTGTATCCTTTGTTCTTTATAGTTTGCTTTTGAGTTCTTCGTAGTTCAAATAACAGTTGAATTGAAAGAAAAATGCTCAACATGTGAAACACGTGGCTATAATCACAGGCAGTTAACTCTTTCTAATTTTAGAAACTCATTCATTTCAAATTTCGGATGCTCGTTTCTTTCTAATTTTAGAAACTCACTCTTTGCCCCTGGAGAGCTTTAAGGAGTTAAAATGAACGACGTCTACTCTTTATTTTTTGGGGCTGGAGCAATGTTTGTCTTGTTTAACGATTGAATCAATTTTTCGTTAATTTCTGCTTATTTCATTGCGAGTATATAACTTGACGTGGCAAATACTAGAGTGAAATTCTATGTCATAACTTTGCGGGTTACTCCATTTTAACCTTCTTTTGACTGTACACAGTATAGCTCCGATTTTTTTTTTCCTTTGACAAGAAAGAACTAAAATCATCCAAAGACTGGATTTTTTTAATAAATTTGAAATTAAATTGTACGGTGGGTGCAGATGATTGATGATTCCGATTGTTTTTGGCGCATACATGTGTAATTTGTATATCGGCCGAAGATGTGAAAGTGTGTTGCAGCTCGACGGACCAGACGAAATGTGCGTTAACCAGTCGATGGCAATGGTGGTGGAAGAACACATCCTCTGCAATTCAAGGAAGAAAAGAGTGTTTGTTAATCTTCAGTGTATTATCCTTGTTTAACAGCTATGCTAGCTAGTTTTGTGACATTAAAAATTATTTTTCAGAAACCGGAATTTTATTTTGTAAATAGAACAAAAGTATGAAATTCAATCCAAAAATTCTTAATTATATGTGACTAAAAGAATATAAATTATTATAATGCGTCTATTCCAATCCTGAAATTTTCGATTTAAGGACAACTTATTTAAGAGAAGGAAAAATAAAAATTAGCATTGACGATCATAGATAATCGTAGGCAACTAGAAAGCCCCTTTCTATCGGCGGCAATGACGACGTTGCATTCCTATTCCGGCCAATCTGAAACTCAGAGATCGATCAATAGAGGCGCGTTTTATTATTTAGTCACAACTTACAATAATTGAAATACAGTAGAATCTCAATAAATAAATAGCATCACGTAAATAATATTTTTTTCGGTTCCAAATCGGTAGAAATGTATTAAAATTATTAGTTCAATAATTTTATATTTTACTAATTAATAGAATTTTCTTAGTCCCGACTGTATTAATTTACATAGGTTTAACGGTAATGAAATGATTTAAGTGGCATAATTTTTTTTAACGTAAATGTCCTTATTATGAATTCATGATTTAAGCGTTTAGAAAGAAGAAGAAGAAAAATGTGTAATTGTACTGGAACTGAGTCTTTTCAGTAAGTTTGGAACTAATTATAGTTTATAAGCTATGCTGCACAGACAGTTCTAGAAGGTGAAGAGTCCCCGTATCCGACACCTGGACACTCGGACACATCCGGACACTTCTCGGACACCCGTGTCGGGCCGTGTCGCAATTTCACTAAAAGTAGGACACCCGTGTCGGGCAGTGTCCACAATTTTAAAAAAGTTGGGACAATTCTCTTACGTTTTAAGAGAGAGCCCTAATAAAAAAAAATGCGCATTTTTTTTTCTCTATAATATACATTTCCTCCGTTTTCTTTGTGAGTCCACCCAAAACTCCAAAATTCTAGCATGCGACGGCAACCAAGAACACGAGCGGTTCACTTATACGATGACGACTTATAAATATTTTTTTATAATTTATAAATGTACCCCTATATTTTTATTATTTATAAATATACCCCTATATTTTTTATATTTACGCGTATCCCCGCGTGTCGGTATCCTAGTTTTTTGAAAATGCCGTATCACCGTGTCCACGTATCCGTGCCCGTGCAGCATAGTTTATAAGTAAACAATTGGAGCAACTAAATCGGCCAAAATTCTCTTTAAATGTAATTTAATTGCATATTATTTATAAAAAATATTCCCCAAAAAAAAAAAAGAAGAAGGGACTAAAAAAGGAAATAAAGAAAAGAGAGGCCCTAGGAAAGCAAAAAAGGATAGTTGGTGGGTCCCACGCAAAAGAAGCAAGAAAAGTGAAATTATTTGACTAATTCCAGACTGTTTACTCATCATCCAGAGCAACCAACGTTACACTTAATTACACACCCACGATTCATCATCATCATAATTCATAAACCTCCACCACCCCCACTTTCCCCACGCCTCCTCTCCTTCACATTCCTCCGCCTTCCCACCCCCATTATATATATATAGCAGCACTCACAACTCACAACACCACCTCGAGAAAAACACACACACACACACACACACACACTAACTCATCACAAGTTGAAAAGATGGTCCCCCCCATTCATCAAGAGCAAGAAGCTGCGGCGGCTCTTGATCAGAATGACGTTCTCTTGGTTGTCAATGATCTTCAGGAGGATACCTGCAACAAAAACTCTCTTTTGGTGCCCGAACCTGAGTCTCCGCCCAACGCCGCCGCCGCCGACGAACACGCGCCTCCGAAGGCCGATGAACCGGAAGTGGAACACGCCGCCCCCAAATTCGCCGATCTTCTTCCTGAGAATGAGAAGAAAGCCCTGATGGAGCTGGAGCAGCTCATTCAGGAAGCACTCAACAATCGTGAATTCGGAGTTTCTTCCGCCGCCGCTCCTCCACCACCAATAAAAACTGTAGAAGCTGAGAAGAGTTCCACTACTCCGGCAGCGGCGGAGGAAAACGACGGCGCTAAAACCCTGGAAGCCATTGCCGAAACAATCGTCGCCTGCGCCCACACCACAACCACCACCACCACCGAGGAAGCCGCAAAAAAAGCGCCGGAGGCGGAGGAAGTCAGCATCTGGGGAGTGAAGCTTCTAGAAGACGAACGAAGCGACGTCGTTCTGCACAAATTCCTCCGCGCCCGTGATTTCAAAGCCAAGGACGCCTTCGACATGATCAAGAACACCGTCAAATGGAGGAAACAATTCGGAATCGACGGCGACCTCGTCGAAGACGACGCCGCCGCCGGCGAACAACTGGGGAGGGCGGTGTTCATGCACGGACACAGCAAAGAAGGCAACCCAGTCTGCTACAACGTCTACGGCGAGTTCCAGGACAAGGATCTCTACCGGAAAATGTTCTCCGACGAAGAGAAAAGGTCCAAATTCCTCAAGTGGAGGATCCAGTTCCTCGAGAAAAGTGCCCGGAAACTGGATTTCCGGGCCGGCGGCGTTTCCACCATTATTCAGGTCAACGACCTCAAGAATTCTCCCGGCCCGAACCGGTGGGAACTCCGGCAGGCCACTAATCAAGCCCTTCAATTGTTTCAAGACAATTACCCTGAATTTGTTGCCAAACAGGTAAATAAAAAAATGGCTTTTTTTTATTTTTATTTTTAGGGTAAATTATGAAAAGCCCCCTCAACTTAGGCTAAATATTCGTAATAACCAAAATCCCCCTCTGATTAACTGTTGATCGAGTTTTTTTAACAGAAAATGTGTACAGTCTATTATACCTTCTGTTAAATAGGTGGGAAATAAAAAGAAAATATCTGAAATTGAAATAGTGTGAAGTATATCGCTAGACTAAAAAAAAATTTATGTGAAAAGTCACAATGTAAGGAGTTGGTGTAAGTTGGAAACAAATATCAGGGGTATTTTTGGTAATTAGAAATAGGTGCGGGCGTTTTTTGTTCGTTATTTAGACTAAGTTTAGGGGATTTTCGTAATTTAACTTATTTTTGTTATTAATATTAATAAATATTTTTATAAAAATAAATTGTAGGTGTTCATCAATGTGCCATGGTGGTATCTTGCTCTAAGCAAAATTATAAGCCCTTTTATGACTCAGAGGACCCAAAGCAAATTTGTTGTTGCTAGGCCTTCAACAACCACTGAAACCCTATTCAAGTTAGTATTTTTTTTTCTTTTTTTTTTAATTTTATTTTCGAAAAAAAATTAAATCTATTTATAAATATATTAATTGTGTGAATTTGATATTAAAAAAAAAAAAAGATATATAGCAGCTGAGCAAATTCCGACACAGTACGGTGGACTAAGCAAAGATGGTGAATTTGGGGCATCTGATAGTGTCACCGAGGTTACAGTGAAACCTTCAGCCAAGCATATTGTTGAATTTCCTGTTACTCAGGTGAGTTTATCAAAGATTGTTTTTTATTTAATTTAATCATTATATTGTAGAAAAATAAATTTAATTTTTTTGGAAAATTTATTTATATGTTGACTAAGTTTAGTTTAAATTTGAATTGGTCTTAGGAGTACTGTTTTTACAGTTTGGATTCTCTGAATTCTGATACAATGACAATCCATCATACTGCAGCAACAAATGTTGTCTCTTCATAGAGTTTTATTGCACTTTGGACCCATTTGTTATATTGAATTGCTGTAAAACCACTTATGTTATTTTATTGCCAAAACCCCCCTATGTTCTGGTTTCTTTTAGCAATTGCCAATTAGTACCCCTGCTTTGGGGGTATTTGCTGTTAGAATACCATGAGGTGGTTTTTTAGCAATTTGGTATAAGACATTGGTACAAATTGCAATAAACCGTTAGCCCTATTTGTAATAACTAATAGCTCCTGTATTACTACTAATGTCGCATATGCCCTTGTACTACAAAATGCGACAAAATAGTCCCTGAACTTAACGGTCAACTCTCAAATCTCTAACACCGTTTGTTTATGCAGCGCAGTTACCTTTTGTCGATGGACCATTTTGTCGCATTTTATAGTACATGGGCATATATGCAACATAGATGACAATATAGGGGTGCAATTTGAATTTAAACCTTACAAATATTGTAGTCAGAGTGTTGTTTGGATTCTCTGATACCTGTGTTGTTATTATTACAGTATTTGACTGTTACCTAAAAAATAACTGACAAAATCTTGTGATACACACTTTGTTCTCTGTTTTTTTCATCTCTCTTTGACCTGTCTTTTTTATAGTTTCCTTTTACACATTTTTAAATTAATTAATTAATTAATTAATTAATTAATTATTATTTTAATTTTAATAGGGATGCTGTGTTGTGAGCTGGGAGGCAAGTGTGGTTGGATGGGAAGTGAGATATGGAGCAGAGTTTGTACCGAGTGCAGAAAATGGGTACACAATTATTATACAGAAAATGAGGAAAATTAATAATAATGGTGGGAATGATCAGGTGATACGCAGTAACTACAGAGTTGGTGAGCCTGGAAAATTGATTCTTACTATTGACAATCTCACTTCCAGGAAGAAGAAGCTTCTCTACCGCTTCAAAACCAAGCTTGTTTCTTCCGTTTAATATTTTATTTTATTTTTGTGTGGACTGGAAATAGCAATATCCAGACAATAGTTCATTTTTTATGTTGCTTTTGATGAGTTAATTGTTTTTTTTTTTTTTTTTTTATTGTGCTTTGTGCAATCTATATAAATATATATCAAATATTTAATTTATGAGCTTCATTTTGCAAAATTAGTCATTTACTGTTCAATTGTGTGATTAAACTGATTAATATACTCTAGAAATGAGTTCGATTTATGTATATAGAAAGTATTTATTGTAAAAATAATCCCCTATCAAACCCATTGCTTAGTCAACTAGAAAATAAATTATATGATTATTTCCTATATAGTCAAGATTTCGATCAAGATTTTTTTATCGAGGGTAAATTACACCGACACCCCTGAGGTATGCTTAAATAACTTTAAGGTCCCTATGATATCGATAATTACACTTACCCTCGTAAAACGTAGTTAGAAGCTCTAACGGGATAATGCATTGGATACATTTTTCTGATAGGGTTCTAATGAACTATTACTTTTAACTTGTGGTGAAGATAACAAAGAGTTATGGAGAGTTATGGGGTGACATGACTCCACCAATATTTCTTAAATCACCCATAACAATAGTTCGTTAGAACTGTAATAACTTATCCAATACATTATTCCATTAGAGTTTATAGCTACGTTTCAAGTTGGTGAGTGTAATTATCGATACCACAGGGACCTTAAAGTTATTTAAGCATACCTCAGGGGTGTCGGTGTAATTTACCCTTAACCTAATGGGCAAATTACGGCCACCCCTAAGTTATGGTTAAATTACAAAAATCTCCCTAATATTTGGGTAATTATAGCTATCCCATCAACTATGCATTATTTTACAAAAAGACCCCTCCAGAGGTAACTTTAGGGATGCTAATTCCGTAAAACCAAATCGAAATTTCGGTACGCCAACATTTCATACCGTACACCGAACTAAATATACGATTTGCTTCGGTAAATAACCGAAATACGTAAATTTTATGTAAAATATTTTAAGAATTGGTGGCTGTAATTACGCAAATAAGATGGATTTTCTCATAATTTGACCATACATAAGGGGTTTGGCCGTAATTTGCCCTTAAACTAATTAATATTTGTAATTGTGTGCTGTGCTCGAGGAGACGACCAAACGCGCCCCCGTGACTCCTTTTACTGATTTTTCTTTTTCTGAAAATAAATAAATAAATATATGTTTCAGCTTTCTACATTTTGGACGAAATTGCCCCTAAAGCTTTTTTAAGCTACATTGAAAAAGCTTTGGAGAAATCATTTGCTCCACCATTTATTTCTTAAAATAAAGTTTGTCTGGTAATATAATACAATGTTGATCATGGGACTATTAGGGAATCCTATGTGGAAAATAAATATTTCTTTAATATTCACTTGAGGTAAGGCTATCCTCCACTTCGATTCGAGATCGATTGTCGAAAAAATTGTTTGAACTCTATTTTTTTATGATAGAAACTTGATAACGAGCTCGAGCTTAAATATAATTACTCGGGCCTATCAAGATTGAAAAAAAAATCTTTAAATTTTGAAATTTTTTTGGACGAAAGTCTGGTCACATTAACTAACTTCGTGCGCATTTTTCGGTTGTTGCAATATTAAGAAAAAACCGATCAAAACCCAACACATGTATATAACCAACTAAATATGTGTTTAGGTTATTAACATCAACTATGAAACATATTATAATTTTTTTTAAATGAATAAATTGAGAACTAATTTATTAAGCAAATGTAGTTTTTTCTTCTAACAACAAATGGTTTAATCGAATTTAGCAAACATTCAAAAGAATTAAAATTACTAACCTTGCACCAAGTCCAAGTTGTGGAAGAGACCTCAACAAGCACTAGTGGTTACGTCCTAAGTTTATTAATATCTTTCAATTACTTGCAAGCATTGTAACTAAGTCTGAAAGTTGGGTGAAACTGATCGGAATTGACCTTTTCGGAAAATTTTCAATTTTTTCGAAAGTACAAAATTAATTCAAATTCCATAATTTAGGAATCTATAAAAATTCATTCCAATTACAAAATTTATGAATATTTCAAAAATCACATAAGTGTAACATTTTAAAAAAGTCTCGGAAACCTTCATAAATTTTCAAAAATATGAACACCTACTATCGTAAAATCATAAAATGAATATTGCCAATATGAAATTGGAATTTAATTTTAGGAATTAATTTTGAAAATTAAAACAGATAAGGAATCAGAAATTCCAAATATTTTTTTTAATATAATTTCAATATCAATAAAAAAAAATTAAAAAAATCCGAAGCATCAGATATCATAATTTCGAAAATCATCATGAAAATAGTTGTTCCAAATCTGAACTTTTGAATCGAAATAGACGGAAATTAGAAATTCCGTTCCAACTTTCACCTCTTACCCTAAATTTCAGCCTATTTTTTTTGAAATTAACTTAATGATTTGAAAAAAAGTTACATCTTTAATTATATGTATTAACTTTATAAAACTGCGATGGACCCCATAAATCATATACTACTTTGAAAAATGAAAAGGTAAAGAGTATACATATTACTATTATTATTATATATGAAAGCCTGAATTAATGGTAATAATTGTGGTCGGGTGCAGAATTTGTTGCAGAGGAAATGTCTTGTTATAAAGGATGCTCATCATTATTTTGTCCATGAGACCATCATTAAGGATGATAATTAAGTTGTAATTATATCCAACAAGATGTGACACCAATTTTAAATTTTCTTTTTAATACAATTTTAATATTTTCTTTTTAATACAACTAATTATATCCAGCAAGATGTGACACCAATTTTATATGCAGTGCACGCTCAAGTCGTACACACCTTGTGCGTCCATCTTGGGCGTTCAATTAATTTTTTTTTTTGCACTGGACGCCCAAGTCGGGCGCCCCAAATGCAGCTTGCACGCCCAACTTGGGCGTGCACTACATGAATGGGCGCCCAAGCTGGGCTTTTGCGCGTTTTGGAGGGTTTTTGGGTTTTTTTTGGGAACTTTTTGGGTTTTAGAGAGATAATGTGTTTTTTGTTATGAACCGTAAATATCAAATTTCAAACAGTAAAAAGCAAGTCCCATCTTTTATTACACGACAATTTGGAAATTTTAGTAACTGCTAGGATTTAGCATAGTAATTTTTTTTTTACCATGAATGTTTATCGCAACAAAGCTTTTGTCACCCATGTATGTATTCACCATGAAAAAAATATATAGTGAAAAAATGATATCTTACGCTACGAATTTGTGTAGTAGCTAGTAAAAAACTATTTTTCTACCGATGGAGATAATTTTTAGGACTAAGTATATATAATGTATAGTTAAAAAATATGTAAATTATGTAATATAATGTCACTGTGATTTAAAACGACATATAATTCCAAAGGAGGTAAAGGGGTTTGTTTAAAAGTGACGGATAGTTTGAAAATGAGGGAGTACCTGTTAAGTGTATATTTTTACATTTTATCGTACCTTTTTATTTGGGCTTTTGGTGTGTTCTAATGATAATTGGTGCTTAAAAAGTTGATTTATTGTATTTTAGGTACAAATTGAAGAATTGGAAAAGTATGGGGTCAAAACTGCAATTTTGGCGAAAATAAGGGTCAAAAGTGAAAATATCAAAATTCTGAAGAAACAAGGCTCGGACCCCCGTCCCAGTTTTAGTGCAAATTATGGGACCCCCGTCCCATAACCCGAAGTTGCGCAGTAAAGGGATTTTAATTGCACAAGGAAACTGTCTTCTTCCCTAAGTTCTTCACCCTATATAAGACCAATCCAAGCACACAATTAGGGATCTTCTTTTTACGCAATTTGGAGAGCAACAAAGCAATAACGAAGAATTCGAAGACTCTAAGCATAGATTTATCGTTTATGACTTATTTTATTTGTGTTTTTCCTTTAATCATGAGTAGCTAAAATTCTTATTTCTAGGATTTTATTTGGAACCCTATGTGGGATTTATGAACCCAATTCTATGATTTTATGCAAGTTTTAATTTCGGATTATTTCTTCTACTTGTTTTATTAAGTGCATGAACTTGATCACCTTATGTGCTTTTATGTTATTGTTAATCGCATGAATCGGAAGATCGGGTTAATAATTAGAACTGTGGTAGAAGAACCTTTGTGGTATTAACATAGGAATATAGTTAATCTTTTAGGTAGCCATTATTGAGATTTGTGTTTAATGCTGTGTTCTAGAATTAATTGCATAGGAATATAGTAATTGAATCTAAAGGATTAGAATTGTAATACACGCGGAAGCGGGTTATGATTATTTTAGCATCTCAGGTTAATAATTCGGGTTAATTGCTTGCATAATTGGAGGAATTGGGGGAGTAACAATCACATAGGGGGAAGAATAAAATCCTAGGCTTGTTTTCATTGATTAAATCTTCGTTTTAATTGCTTTCTTGTTTTTTTTGTCTTTTTAATTGCTTTAGTTTAATTTAGCTTATTAATCATCTTTCGACTGTGTAGGGTGGGCTTGATAACAATTGGTAGAATTTAGCGTCTAGGATTAGATAATTAAATATTCCCTGTGGGTTCGATATCCGGACTTAATAGTCCACTATATTACTTGTACGATACGTGCACTTGCGTGTTGGTTTTCGCCCAACAAGTTTTTGGCGCCGTTGCCGGGGAATATTTTAATTATTTATTTTATTCTAGCTCTAGATTTGAACAATTTTCACGATTCACCCATTTAATTTTCGTTTTATTTTATTTTTGTTTTAGGTACTTTGTATGCACATGAGACTCGATCTTGCTAGAGAACCGTTTGATCCCGAAATCGAACGTACTTTTCGAGACGCTAGGAGACTTCAACGCGCAAACAATATAATGGAGGACGAAGAACGCAGGGCAGCGGGTAATTTACTCGGAGCCAACGGAAACCAAGTCCAAGACCCACCCCCTCAACTTCCAGTACAACCAGCAGTTAGGCCACGGGCACTTCAAGATTACATAATCCCGACTCATGACGGATTCCGCCCGAGCATCCAATATCCACCTATTGAGGCGCACAATTTTGAGATCAAGCAAGGCCTATTGACGATGCTCCAAAATAACAGGCTATTTAG